ATGCAGCAGCGAGGAGACGGTTGGAGGCAGCGGAGATGTCCTGTTTAAGGGCAATGTGTGGTGTAAATATTATGCAGAAAATTCGGAGTGTGGAAATTAGGAGAAGGTGTGGAGTTAATAAAAGTATTAGTCAGAGGGCAGAAGAGGGGTTGTTGAGGTGGTTTGGTCATTTAGAGAGAATGGATCACAGTAGAATGACATGGAAAGCATATAAATCTATAGGGGAAGGAAGGCGGGGTAGGGGTCGTCCTCGAAAGGGTTGGGAGAGAGGGGGTAAAGGAGGTTTTGTGGGTAAGGGGCTTGGACTTCCAGCAAGCGTGCGTGAGCGTGTTAGATAGGAGTGAATGGAGACGAATGGTACTTGGGACCTGACGATCTGTTGGAGTGTGAGCAGGGTAATATTTAGTGAAGGGATTCAGGGAAACGGTTATTTTCATATAGTCGGACTTGAGTCCTGGAAATGGGAAGTACAATGCCTGCACTTTAAAGGAGGGGTTTGGGATATTGGCAGTTTGGAGGGATATGTTGTGTATCTTTATATGTTTATGCTTCTAGACTGTTGTATTCTGAGCACCTCTGCAAAAACAGTGATAATGTGCGAGTGTGGTGAAAGTGTTGAATGATGATGAAAGTATTTTCTTTTTGGGGATTTTCTTTCTTTTTTGGGTCACCCTGCCTCGGTGGGAGACGGCCGACTTGTTGAAAAAAAAAAAAAAAAAAAAAAAAAAAATTAAGAGAGTAGCAATTAAGTGAAGAATTAAGATTGTAGCACTTATAAGTCACTCTGTCTGATTTTTTTGGGTTATCCTAGGTTCTCTACACATGTAGTCAGGAGCAGGAATGGCTGATGTGGTGGCCCTATAAACCCCAACAACAACAATGGCTGCTGTCACCACCACTAGCCATATACACCTACCATCGGACTTACGACCTGCTCGACTTACGACAACTCGACTTACGACCGTGTTTTTTATGCCAAATTTCTGGGAAATAAACAAGTGTTTGTGTTGTACACAGTGTTTATCCTAAACCTTACAGTATAAAATACAGTACTAACAGCATAAAAAGCAAAGTAAAACATGAAATACCAAAATAAAACAATAAAATAAAGTCATTACAAAAATGTTATGTTGATATTCAGTAGTAAAGTTCGACTTACGTACATCCATTTCGACTTACGACCGGTTTCTCGGAACCGAACTCGGTCGTATGTCGGATGGCAGGTGTACCTAATGACATGTATTTTATTCATTTTAGTGTATTTATCATGTTTCTATGTTATTAATATTGTTTATTATGTCATATTACATGAATTGTGATAGATAAATAAGCTGTAAAGTTGATATTACTGAAATTATTAAAGTATTTTCTCATGCCTGGAATTCCACTGCAACGAATTAATTCCATTTCAAATAGTTTAAATGAGGAAAATTGACTCTGCAAACGAGCAAATCCAGTTGCGAGCAAGGTCATGGAACAGATTAAACTTGAAAGTAGAGGTTCCACTGTATTCTGAAAAGCCCCTAACTGTACAGGTATTCTGTACAGTGGAACCCTGGTTTTTGAACTTAATCCATTCCAGAATGTCGTTCTAAAACCAAAATGTGTGAAAACTTAATCAATATTTCCCATAAGAAATAATGTAAATACAATTAATCCCTTCCAGACACCCAAAAATATTCACAAAAAAATTTCATTTTTTAAAGAATATGACACTAGTATTAACTCTACGGCTTATTTATCTACCACAATTGATCTAATATGATATAATAATCAATATTAATAACAAAGAAACATGATATATACTCTAGAATGAATAAAATATGTCACTGCATATGTGGAATGGTGGTGGTGATGTTGAGTTTATATGGGCCACTGACGGCATAAGCCGCACATACAGCGTTGGTTGTGGCGGTGGTGTTGTCAGTGGCTGTACATACCTCAAACATCAATTGTGGAGTCAGTTTCGTGTCATCATTTTTCTATTGCTTAATCACTTAACTGACTTGCTACACTGTTAATGCTACACTTTATCACTGGCTGGCTCTATAGCATTTATCGACTCCTACTGCTTTAGTATTGTGCATATCGTAGAATCGCTGAAGAAGGCACATTCTCCCCTCTCTCTCAGCCATTTACCAAAGGGCTGGCTGTGACTAGGAACTTTCTTTGGGCCTATGGTGGCTTATTTAGCAGTTACAATTAATAAACAGGCACCAAAAACAAGGGATTATTACGAAATGTTTTGGAATGTGCAAAGTAATGCTCACTCAACCAGTGACAGAGGCAGACAGACGTGTAATGGTGGCGTCCCTGGGCGGGCGGATGCGTATAATACGTCCTATTACCATATCAAGGTCTGATACCTGGAGCAAAATTTTGCACAAAAAACGGTTCCAAAACCGAATCATCTGATAACTGGGGCATGCAAAAACTGGGGTTCCATTGTATATAATTTAAGGCAAAACTCAACAAACAAATTAAAAATGTATTATAAGGCTGGAATTTATTTGGTAAGATGTTGATATTAATACAGGGTACTATATAATATAAACAAACACACACAGGGTGTGTATGTATATATATATATATATATATATATATATATATATATATATATATATATATATATATATATATATATATATATATACACAGTGGACCCCCGCATAACGATCACCTCCAAATGCGACCAATTATGTAAGTGTATTTATGTAAGTGCATTTGTACGTGTATGTTTGGGGGTCTGAAATGGACTAATCTACTTCACAATATTCCTTATGGGAACAAATTCGGTCAGTACTGGCACCTGAACATACTTCTGGAGTGAAAAAATATCGTTAACCGGGGGTCCACTGTATGTATGTATGTATATGTGTGTGTGTGTATATATATATATATATATATATATATATATATATATATATATATATATATGTATGTATGTATGTTGTGTATCTTTATATGTGTATGCTTCTAGACTGTTGTATTCTGAGCACCTCTGCAAAAACAGTGATAATGTGCGAGTGTGGTGAAAGTGTTGAATGATGATGAAAGTATTTTCTTTTTGGGGATTTTCTTTCTTTTTTGGGTCACCCTGCCTCGGTGGGAGACGGCCGACTTGTTGAAAAAAAAAAAAAAAAAAAATTATATATATATATATATATATATATATAATATATATATATATATATATATATATATATATATATATATATATATATATATATATATATATATATATATATATATAAAATATACACATACACAGGTCTCCCTCAACATTCACGTTTTCAACTTTCACGGGCTTCACACGTTCGCGAATTCTCAACCGCCAAATTCCCAGCCACCAAATTCCCAGCCGCCAAATCATATTTAAGTTTCCCGCCACCTGCGAGTCCCTACTACCCTCCCTCCGACCCCCGCAACTGGCAGCCAGCCCTCTCACCACTCAGTGTGGTGAGTGTTTTGTTTATTCACTATTTGCTATTAAACTACAGTATAAATAATGTAAACCCATTCATGACTGCATATTGGAATGGCTATTCGAACAGGTATTAGATGGTGACATCATGCGTTTACTCTTTAACACTGCAAAGAATTAAACATTTCTGCTACAGCTAATAATAACAATAGTAGTAATAATAATAATAATAATAATAATAATAATAATAATAATAAATATGATATAATTGAAATAGGAAATTATACAAAAATACGAGAGAGTGGTTGACACATCGTCAGTGTGACTTTGTTTATGCTGGAGTGAACATTAGTCTCCCTGCTCTTCCAAACATTTCACAATAATTCATTGTGTTTGGTGCTTGTAGATTGAGTGACTGGAGTGGTAGAGGCAGTGATTGAGGCAATGGTATTTAATAACATACATGTTAATAATAATACATGTTATTAATAATATGTACTATTATTATTTATAACATATATGTTATTAAATACATACATGTTAATAATAATACATGTTATTAATAATAACATGTACTATTATTATTTATAACATATATGTTATTAAATACCACTGCCTCAACCGCTGAATTATTGTGAAATGTTTGGAAGAGCAGGGAGACTAATGTTCACTCCAGCATAAACAAAGTCACACTGACGATGTGTCAACCACTCCCTCGTATTTTTGTACAATTTCCTTCTTCAATTATATCGTATTTATTATTATTATTATTATTAGCAAATGTTCGATTCTTTGCAGTGTTCAAGAGTAAACACATGATGTCACCGTCTAATAGCCGTTCCAATATGCAGTCATGGATGAGTTTACATTATTTATTCTGTAGTTTAATAGCAAATAATGAACAAACAAAACACTCACCACACTGAGTGGTGGGAGGGCTGGCTGCCAGTTGTGGGGGTCGGAGGGAGGGTAGTAGGGACTTGCAGTGGTGGAGGCAGTGGTGGAGTCTGTTATTCAATAACATACATGTTGTTAACATACATGTTATTAAATAACATACGTTATTAAAGCATAACATGTAAATATTTAGTACAATTTACGACGTTTTTATGTATTTTATGATTATTCATGGTTCAACAAGTTAAGGAAGCAGTATTGTAATATATTTCCCTACAATATATTGGGGCACCAAACATTCACGGTTTTTCAACATTCGCGAGGCTCTTGATCCCCTAACCCTCGCGAATGTTGAGGGAGACCTGTATATATATATATATTATATTGCTGTATAGTATATTCCTGGCTCATTCAAGTACATAATTTTCTGACCTATGGATGGACAAGTTCAAACAGTTCTACTGAATTGTTATGAGATCAACCAATAACAATGACCCTCCACTTCTATGAAATTGTGCTTCAAATCTTCTCCAATATTTATACTCAAGTACTTTTATGAAATTTCTCCATCAGCCATATTTTTAAAAGGCATGTTTTAACACAATTTTCTATTATTAAAAATTAGTCACAGCAGAAAAGAATAACTGTTTAGTTGATCACTAAGCGACCATTTACTCACTCTCCTTTGCCGCAGTAAAGATGGTTCCTGATAGTTTAGGATGAGGATCAACAGTTTTTGCTGCTACTACAATGTTGGCCCCATCCAGTGCAGCTTTGAGAGCAATAGCTTTACCAATGCCTCGACTGGCTCCTGTGATGAACAAAGTACGGCCTGCAAGCTTTCTGTAAGAAATGAAACAAGATTAAAAATATATTGATAAACAATAAATGTGAGAGGTAGTTTTTCTTCACATAAATGAATTATACAGAACTCGTGCATTATGTAATAAGGGTTTACAAATATTTTTAAAATTGTAAAACCCGTGTGAAGAAATTTAGTAAAGTGTTCATAAACTGCTAGGTTCAACAGCAAACTGAAAATGGGTAGTGCCACTCAATACCTCAACACTATTTTTTTTTTCACATCTTCAAGCATCTTTTCTTCTCCCCTCCAAGCCTGCTTTACCCTCTCCACCTCACACCACACACTATGAAGGTCAGAGAATGGTTTACTTTTAATAACAGTATTTGTTGTAAAGAGGGATAAGATTTAAAAGAAGAAAAGTACAGTGGTACCTCAGGATACGAACTTCAACAATTATGTAAGTGTATTTTTGTAAGTGCTTTTGTATTTTTATAGGTCTGAAATGGACTAATCTACTTTACATTATTCCTTATGGGAACAAATTCGTTTGGCACTCAAACAGCCTTCTGGAACAAATTAGGTTTGTATCCCAAGGTACCACTGTATGTGCTGTGTAAGGGTAAATCGGCCATTAAAAACTTCTCACTTTCATGCAGTTTCTCAGCTCACACCCCTACTTAGACTGTTAACCAAGCATTTCTCATACTTGCCCTACAATTAAAGATGTTGGCCTAAAAACTGAACCTACAAATTTGACATGCTAGGTGAAGCAGAAAATGTTTGTACACTTATTCTGCTACTACTTGCATTAAAATAAACTACGTACATCTATTCAGAGTGGATTAAAAGGAACACCCATTTTAAAATAGCATGTTTTAAAGTAGAAACACACTAATACTGTAGTTGGTTTCATGATATGAAATTTTTTTATAATTCCCAGGTGTCCATACAGTTTATAGTATGCACTGTACTTTAACCCTTTGACTGTTTCGGTTGTATATATACGTCTTACGAGCCACTGTGTTTGATGTATTGATACACATAAATTCTAGTGGCTTCAAATCAAGCGGGAGAAAGCTGGTAGGCCTACATGAGAGAGAATGGGTCTGAGTGGTGGGTGTGCACCCTGTGAAAAAAATCAAGGACTCCGTGGTGCATTGTGGGAATGCCATCTTGGTAGTCCATTTTCACCATGCCTCGCGGTAAGAAGTACCTTACACCTCAGTGGATTGGAGGTCTTTTGTTCCCAAGTGATAGCTCTAACAGTGATGGAAGTGCCAATGAAAGTGAATTTCATGGTTTTGGAGTGGGTGTGACCGAAAGCAGTGCCCAGGATAACATAATTAGTGATGTAAATCCAAATGACTCTCAACCTTCCACATCTGGTGCTGGGCCGTCTCGTTCATGTTCATCTGTACCAGGACGAAAGAGGAAACTATTTGCCCGTGTACAAGACTCAGAGGTGAGCAGTGATAGCGATTTCAAAGCTATTGAAAGCAGTTCTAGTTGTGACAGTGAGGGTGAATATTCTCTAGTGAAGTGGTAGTATATACGATGTAGCATGCACTCTGGTAGTGTGTCATATGTTGTTCCAAGGGGAAGGAGTAAATCTCAGTACATCCTGTGGCCCTACACCACGAACTGATAGTGAAAATGACGATATTGTTACAATGGGTATGAATGATGTGAGTGAGGCACCAGGTTGTGGTGGTGATAGTGGTGGGGGCATAAGTCATGTGGCACCAGCAGCAGGCCAAACTACTACCAATGCTGCTAACTCATCACAACCACAACCAGCCTCAACCAACCCCACACTCCCACAACATCCACAACCACAACCTGCATAACCACAACCACCTTTCAATATCCAGAACCCACCAGCAGACTGCATCTGGGATTGGCAGCAAGGTGACAATTTTGTTCCCAATCCCCATGACTGATAAAACACAAAGTGGAATACGGCCATCATGTACACTTGGGAACAATGCAACTGAACTGGAATGCTTTCAATTATTCTTCGATGAACTCCTGATGGACATTATTGTCAGGGAAAGCAACACATACTTTGAGTACACCATGACAAACACAATTCTTTCACCAAGATCATGCCTACACCAGTGGAAGGACACAACTGTGGCAGAGATGTATCTGTTCTTTGCCACAATAATGCTTGTACCACATGTGTATAGGCACAGTGTCAACACATACTGGTCGACAGACCATCTGATTTCAACCCCAGCTTTCAGTGACATAATACCAGTGAATAGATTTGAACTACTGTTACATATGCTGCAAGGCCTGACAGAAGCGAGAGGTTATATAAGATCAGAAAAGTGTTTATGTACCTGAAACAAAAGTGCTGTATGTATTTTTATCCCTTCAGGAAGCTTGTTATTGATGAGTCTTTTATTTTGTTCAAAGGCAGACTGTCATTCAAGCAGTACATACCAAGCAAGAGGAAATGCTTTGGTATAAAGTTATTTGTACTGTGTGATTGCAAAAGTGGTCTGGTTTTGGATATAATTGTGTACACTGGCAGTAAAACATTGCAAGATACCAGGAAGTTACTGGGTATCTCTGGTGATGTGGTTAGAACAATAATCGAACCATATCTTGGTAAGGGGCATATTTTATATACTGACAACTGGTACACAAGCCCTTTACTCAGTGATTTCTTGCAAGTGAACATGACAGATGTGTGTGGCACAGTGCATGGAAATCGTAAACATATGCCTAGGTTCGACGCTGGCACTTGTAGAGGTGATGTTCAGGTGTTTGCTGCCAATGACATCATGACATTTCGGTGGCATGACAAACTTGATGTCACACTGTTGACATCAGTTCACCGACACGAAATGGTAGACAGTGGCAAGCAGAATAGAGAGACCAATGAACCCACTGTAAAACCTGCAGCTGTGATAGATTACAACCTCAATATGCGGTTAGTGGACAAATGTGACATGCAGATTGGGTTTGCTGATTGTGTTCGCAAGAGTTATAAGTGGTACATAAAACTCTTTATCAATCTTCTTGACATTTCCATGCTGAATGCTTATAATATGTATAAGTTGAAGACTAACAACAAACATAAATATGATGAATTTTGCTTGTCAGTTATCAGACAAATAATATTCAAGTACCAAGGAACAATACCTGCAATAGACCAGTGCCCACGAAATTATCAACACATGCCCTCTCATCAGAGTCCTGGTGATCACTATCCCATACCACTGCTTTCAAGAAAAATGCTCAGAAGAGGTGTTGTTTGTGCACATACTAAAAAAACACCCACAAAAATGCAGACACTCGTTTTATGTGTGAGGAGTGTAAAACACCATCGTGCATACACCCATGTTTCAAAGAATTCCACAAGCTGCAGATGTTCTAGGAAAGTGTCCAGGGATTGTACATATGTATATATATTATAGAATAATCGTAATAAAATTTTTTTTATATTGTTTGTTTGTGTAAACAAGTGTTGTAAACAATATGATGATACTAGTGTTTTTGCTATAATTGTGTTACATTCAACAAATGTATATATGAACATTGCACCATACTTTGGTCTCACAGGCCACAAGTTATGTGAAAAAAAAAAAAAAAAAAAAAAAAAACAAGAAACCTTTGAATACAAGTAAACCAAAGTTTACCGGGTGAGCAGCAGTCGCCACTGTTGCCATATGCAGCTCATTTTCTGCTAACTTCATGCCTCTATATCTCAGTAAGTACTGATGGAAAAAAAAAAAAAAAAATTCTGACTAAAACAACCAGAAAAATAATCTTAACATTTTCACAAGAAAAAAAATAATTTTTTTTTTCGAATATTTTTCGACACCAGGAGACACTTCGGGATTAGGGGTTTCGAAAGGCATGGGGTTAATTAAATTAATAAACAAGAAATGCCCTATTAATTAGGTGCACATTCTTTGTTACCTAGGGAAAAGATGAGACTAATGTTTTATGATAGCATAATTAACCCTTTCAGGGTTTCTGACGTACTAGTACGGCTTACGCACCAGGGTCATTGACGTACTAGTATGCGTAAATTCAGCGCCTTGAAATCTAGCGAGAGAAAGCTGGTAGGCCTACATATGAAAGAATGGGTCTATGTGGTTAGTGTGCACAGTATAAAAAATAATCCTGCAGCACACAGTGCATAATGAGAACAAAAAAAACTTTGACCATGTTTTTGGTTTAAAACAGCGAATTTGCACTGTACGTATTTTCATATGGTATTTATGGTTCTATTCTAGTTTTCTTGGTCTCATTTTATAGAATGGAAGACATATTACAGAAATTGAGATGATTTTGATTGGTTTCACAATGAAAAGTACCTTGAAATTGAGCTCAAATTAGCAGAAATATTAAATTTTTGCCAAAGTTCAAAAGTAAACAAATCATGCCATGTGTCCAATACACATCAACTGGTGAGTCTAATAGTCTTTCACAAGTGCGCTGATATTATTTATACCATTTCTACACTAATGCAGTAGTCTGCATAACAGTAAATCTTCTATTTTTTGTGAGAATAAAGATTCAAAGTGGAAAGCAAAAGAAATGTATGAGGGGCATGGGAACACGACTAATGAACAGAGGAAATGTTATTTTAGTGCCAGGAATGTCTGTCTTGTTTATTCTGGACCCTATTTGGAAATTATCATCTTTTGAAATTTGTGTGAAATTGGCAAAATTGCTAATTTCTGATCGCTTTATTGGATAGTTGAAATCGATAAATGGGTGGTTTCTTGTACTCATTCGATAGAAAAAATGGAGTTCTAGCGAAATAGTTATGATTTCTGTAGACTAGTTCACTGGAATTGGCCGAAAATAGGGCTCAAAGTGGATGAAATCACCGATGCGTAAACAGCGTCAAGACTGCTAACTTCGTGAGAGCATAATTCCGTAAGTTCTACATCAAATTTCATACTTTTGGTGTCATTATGAGCAGGAAAAGATTCTCTATCATTTCATAAGAAAAAATATTTTTTTTCCCGAAAAATTTTCAACCCTGAGAATAAGTTTAGGAGAGGGTTAAGAA